GCACAGCAGATGCTAATTTCCATGAACTGTTTAAGCTCAGGCAAGAAGATGAAGTTTGTTACATCTTCTGTCAGCATCTTCATTAAAAAAGATGGCTTGATTGATAACCATTAATCAGTACCCCGAATTCCCCTGAGCTTTAAAATCTACCCACGTCCAACGGAACCACGTAGCTCCATTGATTAAAATCTATGATTTTCGAAATTGTGACGTCATCTCATGTACAGAATGCAAAAGTAAACATGTACACGTGCCTGTCAATGGTTCAGAGTCCACTTTGGCTCTGGAGTCCATCATTTTGTGAACAGTCATGTGACGGCAAATAGGAATAGGATCAACTGTCTCAGATTTGTAAGTGCATTTCAACTCCAACGCCTATTCATGCCCATTCTTTTTGCCGTCGTATAGAGAAGCGGACCGTTTACACATCAAGATTGATATATAACTTGCTTCGTCATGTCCCGCATGAGTTCATCACTCTGCGCCGGCCTCGCCGATTCACAGCGCAGTGGTCGTTTAGCGTTGGGCGTTCACCACACACCCAGTCGTCATTCCTAGCTCGATTTGTTCGTGATTAATTGGATGGAAAGGCCGTCCAGTCTAGACCACTGGTTCAAATGAGGGTTAATCATGTAATCCTGCATTGCTCACCGTCCGTGGAGTTTTGCCACCATCTCCTTATCGTTCCTTAAACTGGCTCCATGCTGTGGTTACCCGGTTTATTCGTTAGTTTCTTATGAGAACATTTTGCGCTGAGTTCTGGGCCTGAGACTTAGGGTAGTTCACCCTCCGCGGCACCCCACCCCATCAACCTGTGACAGGCAACTTTGAAATATTAATTCTTCCATGGAACTTCGCTCGTCGCCGAGCGCCCAAACAGGGCGTTGGGAAGGGCTGATGGCCTTACACAGATTTTAGTGAAGGAAATACGTCACACGGGTCAACGCTAACGACGTGCAGAGCATTGTGGTTAAATTTCTGCTAGGCGGCGGTTATCGATTCGATATTTGTTTTCTTTTTCTTCCGCATATTCGCACTACACTTTATTTGCTCATCCAAAATTGATCACGATAACCTACGAATTGAAGTATATCGCCTAAAGACACGTGATCAACGATCTTTAGTGAGAAGATTATCACACTGTGATTGTAACACGGCCATGTTTTTCTCATATTGCCCATGCAAAAGCATTGCCATTGGCGAACCAAAAAATTGAAATAACGCTTCTCTTACAGGAAGTGTTGACCTCGCAGTCACAGATCGTGCACAATGTAGCCAATCACAGGGCAAAGCCATCAGCCTTCCTAGCGACCTTTTCGGGCGATGGGGCGACATACGAACACTGGTGGAACTTCAGGCACACAGCGAGCATTCATTTCTTAGTGCGTGAGGCTTACGAGTAATTAAGAGGCTTGTTTTCGGTACACAGTTGTTGTCTCTATAAAAGAATACACGCATCCTTTTTTCTGACTGATTTAAACTGAATTTATGTGGTTCACTTTTACGAAGCATTCATTTTACTCTCTGTACGCATCTGAAAATGGCTTATATTTCAGTTTTGGTCCTTTTTTCAAGACAACGCACGACTATTGTCATGGTCTTTTCCATAACCTTTTCCTTATGGCTGGCAGAAGTTAATTTTAGAAAAGGAAAGAAGGGTGTGTCGCGACTTGATTTCTTTTACCAACAGAATACAAAGAGGTAATGCACTGTACATGTGTATTCATACAAGGATAAGTAGCAAGGAGATGATGCCGTCAGCATACTGAGTGTCTTCAAGGGTCGGAATAAAAATGAAAAGTGAATGACGGTGTATCCAACGATGATTCACCAACATTATGTAACTGAACACTATGTAAATGAGCAGAAGCGCCCCTCATTGGTTGAAAAAAACCACATTGGTCGGGAGTGTTCATTTTTGTTGGTAGCGTGACGCCTGAATTTCATAGTCGTTCATGAACCAGCGAAGTTCAGTTCCGACCAAAGGAGCCGCCGTTGCCAAGAAAATAGCGCCCTCTCTTGGTCCAGCTCGAGGCCCATAGCACGTCACAACTGGTACTAACACTGAAAGAACTAATCCTTTCAAAAGTATTCTCCATTTTACATCCCCACCACAAACCTGGAGACACCAATGTGTGTAGAGCAGCATTATCCTGAGAAACAGCAAAACAAGCCCCTGAAAAAGGAAGTGCTAGCCTCCACGGACACGGCATCAACCTACATACTAGGCCCAAGCTGTTTGCGGGACGCAAATCTCGCAAGGATGTGACGATAATGTGTTCAAGATCGCCCGGGGATCCCCCTCTTATTCAGGCGACCACGAGGTCGCACAACACTTGGAGGTATACAGCGATGCCAGAAACTTCCGTACAGTTTAACAGGGAACTCTGAAGTTTGAGAATATGGATGGAGAAAAACTCTGCCCTTTCTCAATATTCTTGAGTTATAGTAACAGTGGGTGAACAAAACAATCATGCAATTATTGCTATTGTCATTTTGGTAACTGTTTTGCTGAACACTGTGCGAATACAGACAACTTTTGAAAGCCCAAGAAAATAGTGTCTAACGCGTCAAGATTAGGTATGTGTACCTGATATTCTGTAGGACAGTGCGATACGTTACGTGAAGAGAGATAAAACGGCAGACAACATGACAAATGGACAGTCTGATTATTATAATAGGCGGATCACGTAAGCATGCACCCTTCATTACGAGACTAGAAAGAAGACAAGATTAAATACATAGATGAACCCCTTCTCCCAAGTGTGAGACTTAATTGATAAGCACGAACGTCACATACTCTGAATTGAGCAGGCGATGAGCTCAAGAAAACGGAACAGCAACGATTCAAATGGCTTCACAGCTCCGCTGAGCAGTTTCTCCATTCGCCACCTGCACGCCGGTGTCCCGAGCGACTTAAATGTCCCGCGACCTTGGGAGGTTCGTGGGGACATGTTCGAATAACGACGGGTCTTGGTGTGAAGCCCTTCCCGGGCCGCACGCACTGCAGCGGGCAGCGCACTTTTTTGTTGGAGCAATATTATTCACTCGGCCTATTAGTGATCCGGCTTGAATCAAGTCTACACTTTGAAGGGAAGCGGCCTATCCTGCCATCTATCATGATTATAGGAGGCGCTGTAAACAATTCCTGTAAAGCCTCAGCAGGCCAGAGGCTGGACCTGCCTCACACTAGTCTCAATTTGCCTTTTCTCCAAATTAAGCATGTAAACTAAGCGTGTAAATTATCATAGAATCCATAGATGAATCTACCCTTCATTACGTTCTACTCTCAGACTGACGATGGCACATCGTAAGTATATATCCGTGCAAAAGTACTGGAATAAATAAGCATGAAAAATATGTTTTATTCCTGTGATGTGACTCCTCCCAGCTGATACTGTGGATCCCCTTAATGCTTGTAGCTGGCGACATTGCTGGTTTTAAACCGTCCCTTGAATATTAGAAGACTCCGAGTATGGAATCATAAAAGCTGTGGCAGCCTTTATAAGGAGATATTACGCATTATCATCCCAAGGCCAGACAGAGGGTCAGGACAAGTAAGCAGCGTCCCGGGTGCACTTTTGCATTAACTGATTGCACTAGTCAAAAATTATATCCAAACAAAGCAACACTCAATATCTACAGTGATCAAAACAAAAAACTTCTTTTTTTCTGGGGGGCGGGGAATAGCCCTGGTCCCCCCCCCCATTCAGCCCTTGGGCATTTCTATGTCTGGAACATTCTCTTGAAAATCGTATGATAAGAGGACTCCGAATGTGGAATCCTAAAATCCATGGCACTTCAAGAGATACTATGCATTATCCTACTTAATTCCATCTAATTTACTCCATACTAGAGTCCAGTATTCCATCAAAAGTTTGTGTCATTTTATTACCAAGAGAGAGAGCCAAGTTTCAGTCGGTGCTAAGTCAGTACTGTACATCTACACACGGTAACACATCTCAAGTTTTTCGACAGGCAAGTTACGTGTTACATGTATTTCCATATGCGGTGCAGCCTTTTGCAAGAGGCATCACCATAGAAAACGTTTTACCAACTCTCCTCGCGCGCATACATGCCTGCATACATCCGCGTTTATTGCCATATTACCTAAAGTTGTTGTTGTTGTTGTTGTTGTTGTTGTTGTTTTCTACGCCGCTGGATCAAGTTTTGTATCAGATCCAATCAGATAAACAGTTTACATCGATGTTGTGCAAACTGTTGGGATGCAGGCCCCCATTGCAGTATTAGCAGTATTGTAGTCAAGTACTTTCCGAGTACCAACGTTCTCCGCAAAATATTGAACTGGGTAAGAGGGAATAAAGCCAGAGTGCACAGGCATTTGATGGTAAATGTGCAAAGGTAAGATTACAAAATAAATGTTAGAATTCAGACACTCCCAGTTGTGTAAAATTTAAGTTTTAAGGAGAAAAGTATTCGGAAAGTACTCGGCCGAGTACTTTCTGAGTACTTTTGTCCTAAAAAGTTAATTTTAATCAAACAGTGATGGTCTGAAGTCGTGTTGCTTTGTAATCTTACCTTTATGCATGTGCCTTAAAATGCCAAAGTACTTCAGCTTTGTTCCCTCCTAACTAGTTAAATATTTGGTAGAGAACTTGGTTCTCAAAAAGTACTCGACTCCATCACTGAGTATTAGACGGAGCCAAAAATTGCCCAAGCCGACGCGACCACACGTCATCAGCTTTTAGAACATGGTATTGTGGCCTATGAACTTGAGAATGTCTTATTGTTTTCTCTCTACAGGTTTCTTCAGGCATGCAAGCTATAGTCCCTAGGGCGATCAGTTGAGAAATACTTGGTGTAATTGCCAGAATTTAAAATAATAATAATAATAAAGGCTCCATTCCGTTTACATAATTATTATAAATGCTTGTTTTTTTCAACCATTGACAGGACTTGTTCAAGTCTATGTTTAATAGATTCATCAATACGACAGAGGGCGGTGTACTACTAGCGCTGTGGCTTGTCATGCACACAGCTGTAGTACGTACGCGTCGTACGTACGTGAGGCCAGCCTCTGAGAATATCCGCTTATTTTTCCGCTGCAGGTAGAGATTTCTTTGAAAACGCCAGTTCATTCGTTGCACTAAAGGTAATATTGGGCACAGATATCAAGCACACTATTAAATAGCTCCGCCAATTGTGCTTTTACCATTCGTAGATTTGTTGCCGAAACTGAACGAGATGGTGATGCCACGGTGAAGACTAGTATTTGAAGTGTGTACAGTACAGGTCTACGTAGGAGGACACATGGTACACGTATCGATACATTCTCGTGTTGAAAACGGTTTTTTTCTATTATGTCCGTAGGCTAGTGTATGGCAGCACTTCCATACAGAGACAGCACTTATTTGAAGTCGTCAGAAAGTGGTAACATGTCCTAAAAAGTGAAATTTAGCAAAGAAATTTCTGAAGCAAGTCTCGTACCGGTAGGTTTGTGCACTAGGGGCAACAAATGTTGTCGGTTAACGGCAGTCTTTCCTTGTATGATGTAAATTGTATAATATATGAAAGCAGGAGCGGTCGATCTGTGTGATCTATCTGTCTGTGTGCAATCTCTCGTTCTTGCTGAACAACACTGATGATTCTGCCATCAACTTAAACACCTCTTCTTTCTACCTGATGGTTGTGGAAGATTGTTTCAAAAGCGTGAAAAACGATTTCATGCAGTATAGTATAGTGCAGTATAGCACAACGTGATTGTGTGATTGTGCTGATTGGCCGATTGCCCCTAACATATAATGTACATATACATGTACAGTATGTTGAGTGTGATCAGCATGATCCTGTGATCTCAGTGTGCTATCAGTCGACCCTGTATGAAATCGACCACTTTGCCATGTTCACTTCCATTTTTCAAACAATCTTCTACCACCACAAGTTAGAGCAAAAGGTGGTTGGTGATTGGCACATGATGCAGTAATTTAAACCTGATAAACTCGACAGATTATGCAAAGATTGAGCAATTGCACTTATCGACCAGTAGTGCCTAATGTCGATGAGTCCACATACATGTACCTAGATATTAACTTGTATTTTGGAAGTTAAATGTGATTGTAAAGTCACATTAGGGTCAGATCAAAAGACGTCTGAGCACCACTTGACCACAAGGCTTCCCTGAGTTCGGCCACCACTGCAGCATGCAAGCACCTGCTTAGCTAGCGTGACATTATGTACATTGTAAACGAAAATACTGAGGGTTTACAATGAAGTTCCCTTGAAAATGACCGTGAATTCTTCATGAACCTTTTGGCATAGACATGTATAATATTTGCTACCATGTACTTAATACATTGTACGTGTACTTTTTCCATTGGCAGATGTGCTTCTGTCGCATACCCCAATAGAGCCCCAATAGTGCCCTACTAGTACCCCAATAGTACCCCAGAGTGTCCCAATAGTACCCCAAGAGTGCTCACCAGTGGCATTAGCCATGTCTGAAAATTGGTGTATTTCTCAAGTACATGTAGAAAGCCCGGCCCTAAGTCTCATGACAGGGTTTTTTTGTCTTTTGGATATTTTGTGGTATTTCTCCAAAAATGTATAAGTCTGCTGTATCTCACTGTCTTGTTGACTTGTACTGAAAAATGATTTTGATTTGGTTGTGCAATGATTTTGTGCATCTTGGCACATGAATACCCCATCATTTCAGCTGACTGACAGTTAGCATTACTTGTAGCTGTGTTCATGCTTGGTATTAGTCGTCATTTTTTCCAGATATATGTATCAAACTTTGGACCCATTACAACCCTAACATTCCTGAATCCTTCAATTTTGATATGATTTTGCACGCACCCTAGGGAGTTAGGGTTAATTCACTCTTGATGTGAAGAAGAAATTAGTAATTAAATGAAAAAAAAATGAAATAAGGGCTGAGTCAATTCAAATAATTCATGGTTCGAATGTTCAACCTTCAATTCGATCAAAAATCCGACTATTTGGTCCTACCAACGGGCAGATTGTTGACAAACAATCCATATACATAATCAGTGGCAATAATGTACACAATTGTACATTAGAATCACTATAATAGCTTCTCACGTCTAGGAGTACATGTATCTCCAACCTCGAGTAAGCAAAAGTTAGAGACTTGCATTACTTCTTGGTCTTTAAAATTTTTGATGAATAATTTACTTTTTGAATTGTAAGATTTCTGTCGCTTTTCATTTGAATCTGCTTGAAACAAGCCTCCACAGTGCAGTTTTTCTCATTTAACATGTTTAAAACAAAAAATCCTCCCTTTGTTTTCATGAATTTTGCATTCAAATAGTTGAATTTAGAAAAAAATATTTGAATACCTGATCGAATATCCGGATATTCGGCACAGCCCTAACTGATCTGTCAAATCTCAGTGATCAATGTAGACCCAAAAATTAACTCAAAAAGTGACCTTATTCCAATTGCTTATGAGGTGGTACAGTCGAACCTCGTTAATAAGAGGTCCTTTGGACTTGGCAATTTACTTTGTTATAACAGGAACCTTGTATTATCAGGAATGAAAACAATGACTAACAAAAGGATCAGGACCTAAAAGTGTCCATGTAATAAGCAAAATCTTGTATTAACAGTGCTCTTATTAAAGAAGTTTGACTGTAATTAGGACTAGCATTATTTTATTTTGTGTTTGATTTGAGTGATCTCTCTTTCTGGTTTCAGTATATGTTTAAAGATTCATCTTCGAGACGACCAGCTGTATTGATTAAGGCAGAGTGACCATCAGCAGCTCATTGCATCAAGGCAGCGTGAATGTTCAACCCTGGCAGATTTGCATTCGAGTCTGCCCGCAGAACTCGGCAATTGTCTCTCCTGGAACAGTTGTCGGGGTTGCTCAGGATGGAGGAGACCAGCGGTGGACGACCTGCAAAGGAGAAGGCGAAAGAGATCTACCCAAACTGCTTTCCTCCCCCGAGGGGCTGCTCTAGTTTGCCAGGAAGGCAACCAGATGGAGCGGCAACCGGTCAGCATGGGCAGGAGGTGGGTCTACCCCATTCATCATTCCATCAGGCCCAGCAAGAAGTCACCCAGCGTGCCCCTTCACCAAACCCCCAGGGCTCAGAGAGTCTCCACCCTGGAAGGCCCACAGCCTGGTTCCCCCATCCTCCGACTGCCATCACCCGCTCCTATCACACCAGCTTTCCCTCCCTAGCCGCGAGCAGTACATCATCGTCATCATCTGCTAATATCAATGCAAGTGTCCAGACTAGATCTCCAAGTGATCAGTCGCAGTCCAAGAGAACATTGAACATTAGCTCTGCTGAGTCAAAGAAGCTACGCTCGGAGATTAGTCCAGGGACCTCAAATGACCAGGAGAAGTTGTCACTGACCCGACAAGAGACTAGCGATGAGAAAGTTGAGATGCTAACCATAAGAAGTGGAGATGAACTTCCTTCAGGTAATATTCGTTCTCTATTCGAATCATTGCAAATAATAATGAACTTGGTGTAAACAGAATGACAAATAACTGCTTTAGCGTGGGAATTACTCCATGGTACACTGTACTTTTTTCCACAAATTTCGATGCCTTCTCCAAATCTCTCCAAAATTCCTCCAAAGTCATTCAAGTCCTGTGTAAATCATGTTGTCTGAGTTCTTCCTCAATTTTGCAAAATCCTCCAGTACCTCCCATGAAGAAGGTTGGATGGTTCAGGGTCTGTGTGTAATGTTCATTCTCGAGATTTTCCCATCTCGAATGCCAGGGGTTACAGCTGAAGGAAAGAGACCTGACATGTCCAAGTTCAAGCGGAGGTGGAAGTTGACCCCAGCTGGAGAGAGCCGTTACCTTTGGCCATCGGGCACCGAGGTGTCACTGCTGTGCTACAACGTCTTGGCCCAGTGCTTGATTGAGAGCAACGACTACCTCTACGACAGCTGTCCAGAGGAGATCCTGAGGTGGGACTACCGCAAGGAAAACCTGCTGAGAGAGCTTCAACAGGCCGAAGCTGATGTATGCCATCATCCCTAAATTATTTACATGTATTTCTTTCGATCTCATTTGGCAAATGGCCTTGGAGTCGACCATAATCTATGTTCTGTACTTGTTTTTGGTGCTGTGAAGGCTAAACCGGCATTGATTTGGGGGATTTGCCCATCACTGACATAATTTCATGAGCTCTGTACACCCAGTGCTGCCTTAACCCTAACCCCTAGGCTCCTGCACTAGAAAGCACACTGAACTTCACAAAATCCAACAGGTGCATGTATTTGTCTATGTACTTGTACATGCAGGACCTCACTGTACCAACCCTGATAAAATCCAACAGAATGAGCCCGTTGGAGTTTGAGTGATATGGTATGGATGGGTCTATGCAGTATAGGATGACTTGCAACTGAACAGTACCAAACCTGACAAAGTCAAGCATAGTCCAACAATTGGTACAGCAAGCTAGACACTGCACGCAGTGACCCGTGTGTGTCCCAACTCACACGGAATCCAACACCATCTCCCTGGGCCTTTTATCCCAAGTCTCATAAAATTCAACAAGATATTCATCAGGTGCGGTACAAAACCTCATAAAACCTGCTGTTGGAGTATAGCAGGTTTGGGGTAGTCAGGGTTAAGAGCTCATTTGAAAATTCACAAGACACTCAACTTGGCCTTTGTACACATTCAGTCGCAACTTGTGCACATTCAGTTGTAAAATTGGTTGACCGTGCATATGTGCTATACATGTACCACTCCTGTACTCAAACCACCACTGCATCCACATGATGTGTCTTCAACTCGATGTAACTCGCAGACCATATTGAGCCAAACTTACAGTTTCTGGATGAAGTCCACATTAAAGATTCTCAGTGACTTGGATAGCCTGCCAAACTATGTGCACATTCACATGTACAGAGCAGCCTGCCTTTTATGCAGCATGTGATAATGCGCACATACATGTACATGGAACTTGTACTTTTTGTCAAACTCTCTTAGCAAGTTGGGACAAGGAAAATTGGAGAGGTTTGATTGTTCTGTTTTGAAATTGCAGCATTTTGTGTCTCCCTTTGACTTTTACGCACGGCATATTTTTAGTGATTGCCCATTTCCTAAATTGTTGCATCTTCTTCTCCAATGTCAGATAATGTGTCTGCAGGAAGTACAGCTCAGCCACTTCCGTCATTTTTTCGGACCAGAGTTAGAGAAACTTGGTAAGCTTTTCCAGCCACTGTAAGTAAAAAGCAAGTTTTGGTAATCTGTTCAGTAACTGCCTCCTAGATTTGGACAAAACCGGGGGACTTCAATTTGTTGCTAAGTTCTAATAAGTATCTCGAGTATTTTCAAAAGATAAAAAATGCATCTGGTCATTGACTTTGGTTTCACTCTATAAAAAAATGGTCTTGATAGTGCACAATATTGGAGTGACATATTATACAAATATTGACTGCTTCGAGTGGTACAGTAAAACTGGCCTCTGGAGGTGATCCATGGAGCATTCTATTTCCCCGAGGCAAAGCCGAGGGAAAATAGAATTCTCCATGGATCACCTCGAGAGGCTTGTTTTACTGTACCGCGAGATAAAGCAGTCAATATTTGTTTTATAACACCTCCCCACAGATTCTGCAAAAGTTAAGCTAAAAATCAATAATGAAACACCAAACTGGAATTTACATTCATCAAATTTAATTCAAGAATTCCAAGCAGAACAGCAACATTTGAATACATTCATTAACGAATGTTGTTCGCTATGAGCCAAAATACACGCCTATGCTTTCGTTGCTACGGATATAGTTCTTTGGTTGCTATGGGTATAGTTCTTTTTCAGAATGAGGCTGCATGGTATAGTCTTTTTGAAGCAATGGTATAAAAATAGTAAAACCAGCAAGTGTCACAGGACACACTTTCAGCAAATCAAAATACAGAATCTATGGGTGAGGTGTTATAAATGCAAATATTCAAATCATTTTGATTTTATAAACAGTGAACTTCCACGTGTAGATTGTCTCCTTCCTTACCCTGTACAAATGGTTTGTCTTGCCCAGTCAAGATAATTTTAACCAAAAGAATTGACGTGTCATTTTGCACTGAGCGATCCATCAACAGTAGCCGGCATTTTTCATCCTCTTCTTTCAATGTACACTGCACTTTTCAAAACAATTTCATCATCATTTCCTTTTTTCCCCACATCAAGAACAATGATTATTCTACTTTCCTTATATTTCCAGTGCCCCTCCCTTCCATTAGAGATATCCAGTGTCACCTCTGTCTTGCAAATTGTACAAAAGCCACTGTATCCAGTCAATTGTGTTGTGGACGTTAAGGATCTAGTCTAGTGCTTAGTAGTAGACACGGAGTAATATGCCTTTTTGTGGAAGCAGTGAAGCCTTGTTACCTAAAAACTCATTCTTTTCTTGGTCTACCATATCGTATTTAATGCTCTCTCGTAAGCCGTCTAGTCTCTATCCAACTTGTATTTGACCTTCTGTTTGTTGCCATGCTGGTTTTGTGTTTCTCAATGTGATAGCCAATTGTGAATATACACATTCTCTTGCAGGCTATGCATCCCTATATCAGAAACGAACAGGAGACAAGCATGACGGTTGCGCCATCTTCTACAAGAGGGATAAGTTTGAGCTGGAGGACTGCAAGAAAGTCCGGTTCTACCGCTCTAACATCAAGCTGCTGGATCGCGACAACGTGGGCCTCGTGGCGCTCCTGCGTGCCAAGGGATCCTCACAGGCCCGGGGCCAGCCCCCCAAGCTGTGCGTAGCCACCACTCACCTGCTCTACAACCCCAAGCGGGGTGACATCAAGCTGGCCCAGCTGGGGGTGCTGCTGGCCGAGATTGACCGACTGGCAGCGGCCACTGTGTCCCCCTGCCAGCCCCCCTCCGCACCCCAGCCAACACCCCTCTACCACCCGATCATCCTGTGTGGGGACTTCAACAGCCTGCCCCACTCGCCCCTCTACAACTTCATCCGGAACCGGAGGCTGGACTACGTGGGCCTTCAGAAGGTCTTGGTCTCAGGTCAGGGGTCAAGCCGAAGGTCCTTTGACCCCTTGAACTGGCCCCTGTGGCCCTACGATGTTGGGGTGACAGATGCCTGCCAGTTTAGGAGCGTTGTGAAGGAACGATTGAGGAATAGAGAGAACAGTGATCAAGACAAGCAAAAGCAATGCACAGGTAAGAGAACATCTAAGTTTATTTACATAAACGACAATTGTGAGGCTGGCAAAATGAGGTAGAACTAGACAGACTTTGAAAGCAAGATTTGCTGGTATTGGGTAGGAAAATGCATGTAAAACCCTCCTCTCCAGCGCTGTTTGTTGCAGTTAATCTGACATTCAGTCAAGTGGCTAGTCATGGCTGTGTGCAATTTGCATTTATTGACTATCCAAAAAGTCAAGTAGGAAGAAAAAGACCTTTAAACTTTTGAGTCCGTATTTGTTAAAAATGAAAGAAGTTTACTGTTTTTCCTCACATATGGAGTTTGGACTTTCTTATGACGGCTCTTTATCTCACATCGGGGGAATATTTATGATCATAAATTGCTACTGGTAGTTAGCAATTGGCCTAGATTCTGAGGATTTCACATTTCTTTACAAGTACACTTCCATGTGGAGCCAATAGGGACCCACGGTCCACTGAGCGCTGTCGGAAAGTACCCACATAAACAAAAATGGGTATATTACTTTCTGAGGTTACTAATGTAAACATATGTACCATCCAGGCGAAGGATTTTAGTTGTCTCTGTAAACAGTTTTCTTGTGTCGCTACGTAAAGGTTTTAACCCCCACTCTCCAGTCAGTTTGCTGGGAAACTTCCCAGATACTCCGAAATTCCCTCTGTGTTGAACACCAGTCGTCCAGCCTTCATATTTAAATTCTCCAAGAACATCTAAAGCCCTGTCCACACTGGACATTTTCGGGTCTAACTAATACCAAGACGATGGTCACTTTTCCCATTTTTACGTCCAGTGTGGACATCCTGGGAAGTATTTCTATCACTTACTTTTACTGGACCTCGTGTTTACCTTTACTGGCCAACTTCTGCCCGGACAGCGCAAGTCGGCAAAAGCATGGAAAGCGGCTCAGTAGAGTGTACATACGGCCAGAGCACAGTGGCATGCTGCACACGGGAAAACTACATGTACGCATGGGTGTTGCACGTTTCACTGCGGTGTGGCATCTGGCAAGAATTTACAGTGCATTCATTTGGTCTCAATCGTGGCAGAAATCATTATTGAACCAGTTGGAAGTTTGTATCTAAGGATGGAAACAAATGCAGAAAGATCACGCACAGTGCCCTCATGAGTCATCGCACTGACAGTTTGGTTACTTCTCCCGTGGTCTTGGTAAAATGTTCTCACGTCAAATTCCAAGTGCAGACAGTGATCATGTTTGGCTGTTTTTCTTAAGCTCAAACAAAAAATGTCAAGTGCAGACACAGCTAAATTCGAGCCCTGTTTAAAGTAAAAGTGGCTTGGTTCCATCTGTCTCTCAGCCTCAGTCCGACAGGATGATTCAGAGTCTCCAGGACTAGCAGCCTTTAACAGGTTTTGCAAGGTGTGGGTGGTGATAGTAACTCACTGCAAGCTATAACCACATGAGAGTGGGCCTTGGTGGCCATGTTTAAGTTACATGTACTTGGTTACCGCCAGGCAAAATCTATGTTCCTTTGGCGGCCAGTAGGTACATGTAGATGCGTTTATCACTGCCAGCTACAGCCTTGAGCAGGGGCCCTCCACCCTTAGTTTCACCACTGGCAGTTAGTCTTTATGGTACCAACATAATTTGGCCCTTCCAGAACCGTCGGATGCTGCCAACGAGCCCCAAGACTGGGAGAAACGCTTCTCAGAGAGCATCCACCACCCCTTCCAGCTTGCATCGGTCCACAGCCACGGCAGCCAACCCCGGGAGGTCACCACCAACCACAGCCGCACCAACTGCACCGTGGACTATATCTTTTACTCCAGCGCCCCGCCCAAGCTTGGCGGGATGCTGCCAGAAATGCCCAGCCCTCCCGTGACCTATGCCGGAGAGTTGAAGCTCCTCGAGTACCTGAGCCTCCTGACGGATCAGGAGGCCACGGACATGGGAGGGCTCCCCAATCACGCCTTGTCATCGGATCACTTCTCACTGCAGGCCAAGTTTCTGCTGATTCCTCCGGAGTAGACACAGTGCTTTTTACATAATGAAATATTTTACTGACATTTCAGATGGTGCTATGTGAACGAAAAGCAGGAAAACACTGCCGAATTTTGACTGGATACGCACAACTGATTCGCGTCAGTACTTAGGAGAAATGCACCCAAGCACCCATGCACAGAGCACTGACACTCAAGTGTGTATTAAATTAAAGTATGCTTGAGATTTTACTGCCAAATGTTCTCGTCATGTAATAGATATGCACAGGAAAGACCAGATCACACACCAGAAATTATTTCACAATTGTAACAATTTTATTTTTCTGCTGCTTATTTCATATATGCTGACCCATGATTGAGAATTTGACGGTGATTTTATACTCTAGTAATGCCAGAGGAATTAGAGTGTGTACATGTACATCTGGGTTCTAAGTGTGTCACACAAAAATGAATGTACATGTATCAGGGTCGGCCACTTCCTTGTATTGAGCTCTGTTTATTGTGCTCCATTCATTACCAAGTTTGGACAGTCAGCGACAATTTAAAAACAATGCCACAGCCCCACTTATTTTATACCATTTTTAGTGTGCTTGTTTTTGGCCCTGCTCAGGGTTGTGTAAAGCCATTCAGTCACCTGGCAAATCAAAGGCCAGGTCACAGGAGATAGGATTAAAAGTGTCAAAAAATGGACAGGACCGGATTTTAGCCGGTGACTCGATGCCTGACCAGACATCTGATGACTTTTGTTGACTTGTAACATTATTATTACAATTAGGCTTCTTTTATCGTCAACCTCTCGTTATCATAAGTTATTTACAGTATTATGCTGATGGGTCGCACTTCATTATTTGCTTTGTTTTGTATGTTAGGGGTTTATGCTCCAATTTTAATGCTATGGAAAGTACTATGTCTTTATTTATTTCATTGTGGAAGTCACAGTGTTACCATTGTTACCCGAATGTCATGAATTCACTCCGAATTCTTGTTGAGAAACATTCTCTATGGATTATTTTATTTCAAAGAATAAATCCTTTACTGGACACATTTCCAGCCGGTGTGTTAGGGTTTTCTTGAACTAAACCTTTGAGGTTTGTTGGCGTTCTCTTTCTTTCATTCTTTGGATTGTTGCTTGTTTCTGTATGATTCTGTTTTTGTGAGGCAGAGGCTGTAACAATCAGCATGCCTTACCTTTGCCGTTGTCTCCGTTTGGCTGCCCGTAATCTCATTTTAGACATAACACGTGGCAACATGTATAAAAAGGGCTTTTATTCTTAGATCGGCAATTTGCTTGAAGCCCCTAAATCCAGTTGTCCGCCTGTCTGTTCTCCAATTCAAAATAAAAGAAGGCTTCTAACATATCCCGTGCAGTAATGGAATTATGTATCTGATACTCGTTACTTGGCGGCTGAAATAACTGTGACGTGAGGTTGCTTCTTGGAATTACATTACACTTTATCATGAATATGCAAAGTTACATGCGCACAAAAGTCCGCAAGGCCCTGAAATGCTCTTCAAATGGCGAAATGAAAATTGAACAAAGAGTTACATGTACATCGGAAACGAAGATGCATTCACGGGTACTGCATTCGCCAAATCATAACTTGTGTACCCTAAAAGTCCGGGATTCGGGAACGCCTATGGATATACACTGTACAAAGACATTGGAAATAGCGCCCTCAATTTATGCCTGAGCTTTTAAAATTCTGAAAACCGAGGCCTGGAAAACTACCCAAATAACGTGCAAGGTGTAAAAGCTACATGTATTTGGCTGAGTGGTGTTTGTGAGTTACAAAAATTACACGTCCGCATGGTTTAGACTCCGTTTTACAAAATTTGGCTAGGAAGACATTGGTAAGGCAGTTTTGTCATCTTTTTTTACCACCCAGATTTGGCATTTTATGAACCCTTTTCCTATCCCGATTTTGGCTTTTTAATTTTAGTTCTCCAGCCAATTTGAGTCTACAAGTGCCCCATCCTTCTGGATTTATTCTACTGAAAAATATAAGGGACGGAAGAACATACTACAACCTCTGTGGCCAACTATTGTTTCGGCTACGCACCTCGCCCAGATACCCTTGGTCAAAGTTTGCATTCCGTACGTCGTTTTCATGAAACTGACGCCATAATATTCAAAAATATTTAAATCTAATGATGTTGTGCCAAGCACAGAAATCACCAGCTTTTATTTACCGGTACACCTTTTTAGTTTCTACTCTCTAGGGTAAACGGAGAAAAAAATTTACCCTGAGAATTATGAAAAAATTGACCGCCTGGAAGCCTATACGGTCAGCGTTCGTGCAATGTAGAGTCCGGTTGACACACCTTCGTTGTACCGATTTGACCGCCAATTGTACGGTCGCCTCGTCGTCCTGCCGCAACGGTGCCGAACCTCAGTGGTGTAATGAAGAGCGGAAATCTCACTCAGATCTTGCAAATAATTAAAGGAGAAATTAAATAGGATTGCTGTGATGATTTAAATACGTGTAGAAAACCTTTCTTGCCAAGTTACTCTCTTTTGTGGCATTAAAAATGAGAAACTCCAACATTTTTGTTGTGCTAATAGTTTCCATATTCATAAGCTAAAGGGTGATGTCATCCCAGGCCCAACAACAGTTGCTCTATAGCTCTGTGAACAAATATATCGTACTTTTATAAGTAAGTTCTAATTTATACATGTACTTGGTCATCATGTTAAGTAGATTGTGTGACAGCATCAAAATGGCACCCTCCAAAAAACTTTACTGATGAAAGGATTTTCTTCGAGCGGAAAAACTTGTCTCTTTTAATGAAAAGAATTATCTAGATCTTGTTGTATAATGTGCACGAAGACAAGTTGAGCTGAATGCCCACTGCATATTTCCTTTAGTGGATCCAAACCAAAAACAGTAGGAGAAAAACAACACACAGAAGCCACAATATGCTCGAAAAATACATTAGCGATTAACACTGATTATCGGAGAACGAGGATGAGTTTATTAAGTACGACTTCTGACTGTGATAACACAAAAATCATCACATCACGCATTGAAAATCATTCATAATTTGTAGGCGTTTTTATTTTCTTTCATATTTTCCTGCCATTGCAAGGCAAGATGCATTAATCCAGTGTCTGTCGTCATACAAATCCATGGCTTTCAAGTAAGCTGGCTTTCACTGACATCTTTAGCAAACCCATATCTTGAAATATCAGTATTCACGCGACTGCCTTGATGCGGGGAAATATACAGTAACACAGCGTGATCTAGTTCATACAGAAATATGTGCCCGTGGCAACAAAACCTACCAATCCCAGATAATAAGATAAGTTCCAGTCTCAGGAGGGCAATATTAATTTTTTTTAAAGAAACCACAAAGTATATCTTTAAATTTACACTGGTTCAAATTCACGGAGCATTCAATCGAAGCATCACTCCGCAAAACCGAATCATATACCGGTATATAATTCTACCACACAGATGTTTCTTCACAATGTCCGTTAGCACACTCCTAAAAATCGTGATCCTATTGGTCATTTTCCAAAATAAAATCGTGAAAATATTGAAGTGGCAACATTTCCAGGAACGTTTAAGAACCCGGGCCTTGCTGGACCATTTTAAATGGAGGGGAGTTCTAGTCGCCATCATGAATTTCCCGGCTGTTTCGCGTCCAGCAGCGTCGGCTCTATGCCTGCCCTCTTAAAAAGAATTAATTTTATTGAAGGAGTTAACTCGTCCAAGTCTGATTATTGCATCAGTTCCTGTTTACCCAAAAAATATCCACACATTTCTTTTCAAAATCTAATCCTTGTTGAAGGTCTTTGATATTGCAGATGTTGATCTCTTATTAAATCCCTTAGAAAAAATAATACACGTTTCTATTCATCACATTATTGAGGTAAAATCAATTTTATGATCTTATCTTTTATTTGAAAAAAATAATCTAAATAAATTCAACAACGCAGAATGTGTTTTAAAGCACGGCTGCCATTCCCAGTTCCCGTTTGTCTTTAATCAACATGGCAGCGCTCTTCACTCCGTCTCACCCAGTCACAATCACTCAATCAGTTAATGTACATGATGCCTGTCTCGAGTTCCCCGGCTATGATTTAAAGCTTTCACCGAAATGGCGGGAAACAAATTATGATCAGAATCAGTCGGGCAAATACGGTTAGTATCAACTACCCCGGTGAATGAATTACGATGGGTAAAAGTAGCGATGGAGTGTAAGCCAGCTATTGGTTTTTGTAAGACGTATACATGTAGGCCTAAGACAGTTTACATGTACACTTTTTGTTTGTGACATCATATCGAGCAGAGCGCTCGTTCGAGTCGGCCTCGGGGGGGTATTTGCAGTCACTCAACCCCTCGTGATTTTTTTTGTGCTGGAAGCTAACAGTATCGCTGACATTTTGTCAAGGTAAACTTCCAGACATCGCCCTGCAGTGCCTCCATAGGTCATGTCTTACATTTCAAAAAACCCTTTTCCAGTTTCTACAACCTTGTGTAACTATTTACACATTTAGTAATAAGTATATTAAATTACCGGTAAACGTTAAAGAGTCACCGGAACAAAGAGGCTTTAAAATGGACTTTACCATGCAACGGGGTTCCCTAGAACGGTCGTAATGGCTCATATCGTGCCCACCCACTACATATTTAGTTTTTCATGTAGATGGATCAATCAGCGGTACATTTTGATCGGCAATACATTTTCGACGAGACATGAATGACCTTCCCCTTTGTGGTACGGTTTGTCCCTCTTACCCATACTCCGAACTACATGTTCTACGACTAATTTGTCCTTACTGCGCTATCTACCTTTAGCCTAATATGTGTACATATTTTTGCTCCCAAGGGGCCAAATAATTCCAGCTGGGAGCAGATTCCATACTGGCCATTTTGTGGCCCTTTGATGCGGTCGGGGTGTCCCAGGCCAAATCGCAGCCTTCAGTTTCACCCGGAATTATGCAAAAGTGGCGTGCGAAGCAATTGGGAGTAACTCGATTACGGTTCCGCCAAAATCTGATAAAGGGAAGATAACGTCATTAGGCCACCTATCAGGTGAAGTTTCATAGAGATTATAGTTTGAATTATGCATGAGGCCTTATGGAACCGCTTCGAAAAAAATGTTTTTCCTAGATCCTCTTGTACACATGTACACCCCACCGATACCTGAAAACGGTTTCTTACATCTGTACTTCTGTTAGTATACCTTTTAAAAATAAAAATTGGATTTTTTGTTCAACATGCAGACGCCATTTTGTATTATTTCTGAGATTCACAGCAACATCTGAATTGTCATTACTTAAGCCAAATTGACGTATATACAGTACGATGATGGCACTTTTCTAAATAGATGATGTCGTGTTCATCATTCCGAATTGTGATCTAGCACAGCAAACTCAACATGTAATCATTTCTGTTGACTCTGTAGAAGTTAGACTGTAGAAGTCTGTGTTAAATCATTTCCTTCATATCAAACAAGTATAAAACGCTACAATCTCCTAATATCTGTTATTTTCACCTCCCTTTTGTGATTCAAAGTAAACCTATAAAGAAGGCAGAAAGGGAATCACAGATTGTAGATGACAATGATTACTTTGAAGATTAAATTTTAACACATATATATATATATCAGATTTAATCAGCAAAAATGGTAAACATTCCTTGGGAGTTAATTCACGCCAGTTCAAGGGTAGATCCAGAACCGCATTTGTGGGGGGGGGGCAAATTTTATCGGAAACGGGTCAAAAGATTTGGGACTTTCTTTGGGTGACATTTTATTGCTTTTGTGAGGGGTGAGGCTACATTTTTCGGGATTTCTAAGCTGTGGGAAGGAAAAAAAGAAATAGTCCCATAAATCACCTTTCTCTCAATATATTTCAAGAACGCAAAATTGCCTTCACTTTTTACGGGTGGATGGCCCCCGTTGCAACGTATTGGCCCCTCACCTTGGATCCGCCAAGGCACCAGTCAATACAAACCCGTCGCAACTACTGCCCACACGCTGTCTTTATACATTAATGCATGAAACTATAATTATTGCATTCGGTCTGGGTCTTTGAAGTGTGCCTCAACACAGTTGTTTTCTTTGGTTTGTATGTTGAACCAACACTGTCAAAGCACAAACCTGATATATTCTGGTTTAATAAAACCTTTTTGCTGGAAGTTAACAGATGTTTTATAATTTTCCACGCTAGTTTTAATAATACATAGCATTATTGATCAAATCAAATGATAATATCGATCGGTGTCTTAAAGAACACATTTGCACATTTAGCCTAGGTCCTACCGATTATAAGAAATATATTTATTACGTCGCGAAAATTCAAAACCCAAATTCCATCAGTCTACTTAAAATGTTTATTTGCTTGTAGATTATGGCACATTCGGCTTTGTGTCTAAAATGTCTATTTCTATAGCACTTATTTTAATTTTTTTTCGCTTTAAAACCTGAGAAGATATTGCATATCTAGAATACTGCACATTAAACGGTTGCTTGTTTTCTAATACTGTAAAAGGTAAATTCTAGTTCCAACCAAGGAAAACCTACAGTGAACGTAAAAAGCAGAAACAGTGTTGACTGTTTCAAATATTACCTAGTATATTTTTCTACCTTTGTCCATTTGTACTTTTCATCACGTTCCTGTGTATTGTGTTTGTTGTCACAAACGCTTTTTGACATTTCCACTGCATCCGGACCGGATGACAAGCAGGTCATGGATTTTTGTTATTCATGATGTGGAAAACAGGAGCGACTGGTGAAGCAGTCCACGGTCCCATTTAAGAACGACCTATAAATAACTGTGAATTCACTGCGAAACCAGTCATTCGTTAATTTCCCCAGGTAGCTGCTCAAACCATTGGAGAAGGGTGGTATTTATAAGCAGTTATTTTAACAAATCTAACATTATCCAAAGTTATCATAAGAAGAATTCGTCTCTTAAATACCTCATCTGTGATTGTTCGATGAAGGACGGGTGAGCTTCAAATCCTTATTCTGGTTGGCGACTACTAAATCACCGCCAGTTATTGCCATGGTTCAGGAAAATACCCGATGTCCTTGCAAGGAATTCCGTCAATATTCCGGTAAACTCAGCATTCAGCAGTAGGAGAATTCTAAAATTGTAACTATTTCTGGCATCACGGCGAAAGCCTCGATCCCTATTCCTGACTTACCATCAGATCAAAACGTACATACGCCGCCAAAGTAGTCATAACTTTGGCTTTTTTGGCCCTCGTTAAGCGCAGTCTGAAACGACAACGAATAATTTTGTTTTCGAGCCCTTTTCATAACAATCGTGAGCAAAACTTTATCGCCACCGGGGGCAGTTGTCATAAATTTTACATTTTGCACGATAGATCGGAGAGCAAACAAGATGGGTATTTTTCTCTTCTCTGGGTGGAAGTTGAAGATGTTGGCCATAAAACAAAGAAATTGAAGATTTGTTATTAATAATGATAAAAGCTACAGCCAAAATCTGTAACGTACTCAGGTTTGGATAGGCAAAGTTCTACACCAATATACCTACGGGTGTTTTTCACCAGTGTTCAGACTGTGATGAAATACGTATCTCTCAACAGATATAGTTTAGATATTTGAAAACATTCACTTCGATATGGGGATGTAGTGTCCGTTTCATCCCTGCTTTTGGTTACAGCTTCCTCGGTGTCTTGTTTGGAGGAGGAAAGCATCGCATCAACTTGTAACAACTGTAAAAAAAAACCCAAAAACTAGACCCAGTCTCGCCTATGTGTTCTTTTGCCGTGCCTTCTCCTGCCTTTTTAGCCAATCGTGAAATACATCCAGGCTAATTCCTTATGTGCATGTCTGTGGGCTTAATGATTGTTCCAACCCGATCCAAATTTGTCATTTTCGTGTTGAAACGGCGGATTAGACATTCATTGGGCCACGATCGTCGCAGAATGGCCCGTTAAGAAAATCGTGTAGACATATCACTCAACGTTGCCCATAATCCTCTCGGCCAAATCCTTCTTTAAATTGATAAAGTTACCAACAAGGCAATCATGTTAATGTTCCCTTTTATCCTGTATTATGAAGTGCTTTCTGTTTTCACACTGCCGAAACTGTTATTCAGTAGAATGTGTAAGCATCCCCCATGCGACAAAGTGATTTTTTTCACTATAGGTTTTCAAGTTCATGATCTCCATCATTACGTTTCAATCATCAGTCGAATTTGGACTTTTCATAAGCCAACAAACCATGGTGCTTACAACCCAATATATAAAAATAGCCACTTTAAGTTATTCCTCTTCAGAGTTCTATTTCCTCGATGGCATCCCCCCTGAGATGGGGTTTCCCTCGCATCCTCTCCTCCACGTGCGCCACAACCTGGGTCAGTTCCAGATCCGAGTCCAGCTCCGTGAATCCATTTTGTTTCAGTGCCTCCTTGTCTTTAGGCTTGCTAATCTCCTTCTCCGTGATGACCTCGTGTTGGTCCCCCGGTTCCAGATCCACAGGCGGCACCTGCCCGGCCTTCATCAGCCCATCCCCCGGGTCCACTCGGACCTTGACCCCCTGCTGCAGCCGCTTCTTCTTACGGCGGTTGGTCATCCGCAACACGTATATCCTGTAGACGGTCAGCAGGAAGATCATCATGTTCTTGAGCGTGAAGAAGAGCATCATCTGGTTTATGATGTGGAAGTGGGTGATGAGGTAGAGCCGCATGGTCAGGTAGGGCCCGTCCTGCATGATCAAGGAGATGCAGAGCGCCCAAATCTCCGAGGAGCAGCAGCCGTGCCGATGGTGGTGCTGGGTCTCCGGGTCCTGCAGCTCGGCCACGGTGGCCCGGGCGCCCCGCTCGGAGGAGGTGGAGGCCTCTCGCCGCCGGTTGAAGACCCGGATCTTGGGCCCGGCCACCGAGGTCAGCACCAGGGCGAACTGGATCAGGCTCCAGCTCCACAGGGCAAGGATGACCATGATGATAAGCTTGTTGCAGACCACGGCCTCCTCCCGCAGATTCTCCAGGGAGAACTCCAAGATGTCGGCTGCCATGCCTATGTAGACCATCAGAAGCTGGGACAGCTGCTCCCGGGTCAGTGACCCCTTTGGGAGGAGCCAGCGGCCCAGGATGAGGAGGCAAAGGAGAATCTGTTCGAGGGCCAAAGCCCATTCATCGTCGGCAAGGACAACGGGAATTGTTAGCTGAAATGATACCGAAGAAAAGCAACGGGTGGCACTTGTAAATATTCACCAATTTTTGTGTGGTTTTGGTTTTCGATGTCAGGACACAAAATTGCTAGTACCTATACCTAAGCTTTCCACTGGGAACTCAGTTTGTCAATAAGGTGACCCAGATTTGAAACCAAGAAGATGTGAACGTGTGACCCCGAAGCCAGGTCCATTTCACGGCTTCCCAGATTAATTTGTTCACATCAGCTCTCAACGAATTCCGCACCACCACTACGCAACTTTCTTCCGGCTCCCATTCGGAGATAATGATTAATAATAGATAAACCTAAATGGGGGTAAAAAAAATTCAAAGAGTGTTTGATTCGGTCATGGGACGGCATGTACGCTTGGTGGTGATTCCAATATCCGGATTGTCCAGTTTGTGAAGACGGGTTCTTGGTCGAATGTTTCCCTAAAGGGTTGTGTGTATGTTTTCTACCAAAAGCTCACACGAGATTCAGAAAACTCTTCGACTGTGGTATCACCAAATAACACATTCCCAAAGAGACAGCTTTTGATTAAGTTGTGGTCGATCAGATCTGGGTACAGGATTAAGAACATTATAAAGTAAATGAGGCAGTAGCATTATTTTATTTAACGTTTACCCCTTGTATTTCTGTGAACAACGTCTGGTTGTAGTTGATATTGATGGCACACTCCTTCCAGTGCATGTGATCCCTGTAGTCCATACGCTTTTGGTACAAGTCAAGCTGTAGCATCCACAATCCGGGTACCACGCTGGCCAAGTAGAGAAGGGCACTCGGGCATAACCTGTAATCGGACACCAACGAAATGACGTTTCACCGGTTACGTATAATGATGTGCAACTAAGAAAATGGACGACCTGTTATTGCTTAAACCTTTAAAAGATTTCGATCGAGAAACCACCAATGGTTTATGTTCGGGATCTTTTTTATTTTTAGAAATAAATCGGTGCACATACATTCCACTAAATGTGACAAATACAGATTGTTAACAGCAAAGTTTTATTCAGCTTATACATAATTGATTTCACCGAAAAAGAAATGGAAAATATATGTACTATCATTTACTATAACAGCAATAATACAGTCTAATACACAGTTAATGTGTTGTCCTTGCCCGGAGCCTACAGGGAAAATTCTTCGACTCTCAAAACATTATTCTGGCAGCTGTGAAAGAAAAATAAAATCAACAGAGATACTGCAGTAAATGCATTTCCCACTAGATCTAACTGGGCGACATTTTAAACCTTGGAAGCGCTTTCTGCTTATCTTTTAAAAAGAAAAATAGAGAGTGGTTAATAATCAGGTGTTAAATGGTGACCTCCTCTCCCCTCGCCATAAGGCCGGGGTTCCGGCTGTAACCCACTCATGGAACCTTCATTTTTACGTCTCATTGTTACTGCAGAAAAGCAGATCCCCAAATTTATTCATTTGTTGTAACTGCGCAGAGGAAGTCGGGTAAACAGGTCGACAAATTCGCTGTTTGTGCGATCGATCAATATCGACCAGTGTGAGCCCCAAAGCGCTTGCACATTCCAACGTAGCCCTACCCCACCCCCGCCCGACTATATCCCATAGAGGAAAAAGGTACAACTTGGTAACGGCGTATCTAGTATTTGGTTCGGGTAAAGGGATTTTTTTTTTTACTTAACACCATTATTTTAAGCCCAGCGGTTCTATTTCTAGCTTTAAAGGCTCATGCTTTCAATTCCTTACAACATGAAAAAAAAGTTACCGTCATAAGCTTTCTGCCTTGTCTATCCTGCTACTACACTACAGGGCATTTGCCAAGCCACAGTGGGATGGCATATACCGCGTCCGACTTGGTTGCAGCTTGAAATTATACACCACTCTATGGTAGTTGCTGCAGCAGCCACCCTCTATCGGGTCGAGTGTGATTTAAAGCCGCCAGTTTTGCCCGGTACTCGGTCACAATCATTCCCAGGGAGGTTCCCTGTGGGTTGTTGTGCTACATCATCGGTGCTCGATTCTTTCGATATGACTGATTATCGATCAAGCAAGCCTTACACAACTGTTTTCTCGGTTTACTGATAGTCCCGGGGGCTGCAAATGATGACTAAAAGTGTGATTTCAAACTGCATCATGTTGTTTATTCTATGGTGGTTTTTAAAGTACCGTTACTTATTTTCGTGTCCCTAATGACCAAAACGACCACGTGGCGAGTTATACCATCCGAGTCTACCTTATCACTCGTCTGTCATCATTGCGAATGAAACCGGGGCCGTTTTCCAATACTCAACTTCGGCTCCGTCTCAGGCTTCAACTGTTTTTTACTAGCTGACTTTGAAGCTGTAAGCGCAGTATTAAAGTAGTGTAATAGTGCCACAAAACATCAAATAAGATGCAAGAGAGCCAAAAATTACAGTATTCCAATTTAATTCAAACGCTTCAGGCCCACAATCAGGGATTGGTTTTGGGAACGAAGCCTGAGACGGAGACGAAGTTGAGTAGTGGAAAACGGCCCTATTCGTACAGAGCCTTGAAATTGTTTGGCTGACGTCATCTCTGGGTTTTTCATCCTGACTTACTAACATAGGATGGTGATTCGGGTCGAAGTGAGTCAGTTGCACGGGAACCCCGAGATTCCAGACGAATTCTATGTGGATATAGACCACTCTCATTTTGCCTACAACTTGTATGGGCGGCCAAAGTTTGCAAAAATATCACCTTTTGGTAGGTTTTCGACTGTACCTCAAATTCGTTCAAAATATAATTTTTTTTCAATTAATTTGAATAGGGTTGTATTTTCATTTAGTGTTTAGTAATACGTGTCTTATTTCATGATATTCAGATAGTTGCGTGGGATTTTAACACTTTGTGAAGTATTTTTTTTATTTTTTTGCCGACGGGCAACCATATTTTTAGCAACCGCTTGTAGGAAAAATAAGGCTGTGACGTCAAAAGAGCACACCCTTTATTGGCGGGAATGACACATTCCACACCGGCAATTCTTGAAATAGTTGATACTTGGCATACTGGGCGCCAATGTGAGTACTTTACCGATGCATAATACTCAAGATATGATCACTTCTAATAGCAGTATCATACTGGGCCCAAATGCGAATGAAATAGGACTCGTTCCAAGAAAACGTGCGGAATCTTTTGCGCATCTTTAAAGAAATCTTGTTAAAACCGTGAAAACCAAAATCCACCCTCCGAGCGCAAGGCATTGTCCCGGGAAGAACGCAAGAGCATACGAAGTCGGTTTCGAAAAACACACCCCAGTAATCGGCCCTTGGGCGGCAAAATTCAATTATGCGGGCATGGAATGGACACGGCCCCTGTTCGTTGCCCCCTACGTTTTATCAGTCACCCATCAAGGGATTCGCTGTCCCGTCTGAATAATAATGATTAGTATTTCTGTTTATTCTCTTTCTTTCACCATTGCTATCTTAGCACTGAGATGTCGTCCAGATTTTCATTTCGTTTAGCCGCAAGACTGGGCGATTCTTTGTTGTGTTCTGACAGCTCGTGATGAGGATTTCCATGCAGTTGTCCGTACAAGAGTGTTTTCGTCACACATGGGGCTTGTCCAGAATAGAACCCTCCTCTCACCGACGTACGGTTGTCAACCTTTCTTATGCTTGAACTCTTTCATCTCGTTAAGCAGATTGGGCTTTCTCTTACAAGATTTAAAGCGGAATTAAAGATTTGCTGGATGGGGGATATTGACGATTACAAAATCCGCAATTATGTATCTGCACAATTAGGAGCCTTGGGAAGGGATTAATAATCTTCAATGGAAATTCGCTCGGGAGAGTCCATTGCCATTAACATTTCCAAAGTATTTCTCCGTGTATAATTCTATCGTGAAGTTACCGGTAACTCGAGTGGCTGAGCGGTTTTTATCAAGTACCGCACGGGGTTTTTTAGTGGTCATGATAACCAAAGATGAAACCAATAACATTTTGGAACNCCCGTTATATAAATTTTGGAACTCCTTTAATGTTTTTTGCGTGGCACCGAAGCCAGCATACAGCACACTTGAGCGAGTCGTCCCTGTCAGCACGAAGCGAAATCTCACCGCCGTTGTTTCGCTGCGTTTTTTTCTTTTTCTGTCAGCGGACCGGAGCTACGGTGATAAAAAAAAACACAGGACTTGCCCATCACGATGCACATGCTTATGTGCCTTTCGCGGAATGTTTGGCGGTCGTTGAAACACGCTGCGTTATCGGATCTGTCATCTCCAGCCCATTAGGTCAGTTTGAAGACAAACGTGCGCGGCTGAAGATGCTTTTAATTAATGTGATTATTGTACGCTATGCACTGTGCACGAAGGTTTATGTAAACGAAGCATTCTATACAGCATGGGGGGTTAGAATTTTCTGTTAAATGAATCTCAACTGTATGAACTTGTCCTGGCATAACACATTACTGAAACAGCGACAAAAGTCTCCATGCATCAGCATGGTGGGTGTCATCTTGTTTTAGTTTCATTTAAAATTCACTTTGAAAACATTTCTCTCAGAGAAGATTTTGGAGGCGGATCCACAGGTGTAGAGTAAATCACATTTTTGTTGGGGGGGGAGTGGGTCGTAAACAAAAATGGGGGGGGGGGTAAAATAACATCTGATTTTCAAAAGCTAAAGAAGTTAACGGCAGACTGCTTGAAATGAAGCCGCCGTATAACAAACTATTGTGGGAACACTACACTGTAAGCAAAAGTTAGGCATTTTGTGCTCAAAATGACTAATATAGGTAAGTCGGGTCTCGATGGCTTATTAAATCAAGAGAGGACTAATAATTATGTAGTCAACAGTGACTGCCTTTGGTCAACTTTGACGAATGTTCCACTCATCTTTGACGAATGGTGGTCATCGGCCTGGGCCTGTCTGACCAATTTAAATTGGCCATTTTAGACATAGAGCTGGACTAACTTTTATTCAATAAGTCAAATGGACTAATTTTTGTTTACAGTGCGTCTGTATTCAGTCAACATTTCGCCCTCTGCTTCTTCAGTTATAGTTCTGATTCTGAGGAGCAAAGACAATACTGATAATCTTTATGAACAGCGTGTGGGGGACGGAGATTGAGGCAAACGAAACCGGGCGGTCCCCGGGGCCCCACCCCAAGTCGTTGCGCCACCACTGGAAGGAATATATATCTTTTAATATTCCTTCTTATCTTCAAACTCGTGACAAAGAAAGCTCAGGAAAATTGCAGAAGAACACTGACTCATTGGTGGTTTACAGGCACAGACCGATTCGACGTCTCACGAGAAGAAAAAAAACCAAGAGTTTGTAATCTTTCCTGTCGTTTGGAAAGGCACCCGTTTTACAGGTTGTTGAGTGGAAATTTTACCTATTTCCAAACTGGAGAAATATCCTTCAACAACTATAGTAAAACTGACGGGAGCATCTTCACACCCATCAATTAACGCTCAAAATCCTCACGCTTATAATGATAATCAACCTCATAATAATTACTATGAAGTGACATTTGAAATGAAATATTTTTCTGCAACCATTTTCGTTGAGAGTCTAGTTCATTGAAAGATGGCCGTTCCATTCTGGACTGAGGAATGGCGGATTTTACCTTTTGCCGCCAAAAAAAGACTGAGCCGAACAGAGCAATGACATTTAAGGCTCAAGCCAACACATTTACAAAATCGATTGGCCTATTCTAAAAACAAAGTGAAATGAAATCCCACCCGTTCCTTCTACCAAGAACTGTCATGTACTTTTATGGTGTTGAACCTTAATGACTTTGTCCACGTTTTGGCAATTATTGCAATAATAAGTTCGTACAATATATTGTACGAACTTTGAAGGAGTTTCGTTCACGTGAGATGTGAGCTTTTGTCCCACGGTTGTCTGAAATTGTAATTTTTTTCATTGACCATTATAAGAAACATGTGTTGTGAAAGACCCCTGCAGATGGAGCCTAAAAATGACTATGCTGTATTGCATCCCGTGTTTCATTAAAATCTTTTTAACTGGGTGGCAGGAGACCGGAAATAGCAGAATCTGCCTCTCACGTTGAGAGAAAGTTTTTAAAAGCATTTTTTATCTCCAACTTTGTCCACAAAGGCGTGCGCATTGGGGGACAGCGAACCCTCCGTTCGTAAAGTGCAAAATTTGCACCACAGCATTAAAGATACTAGACTAAGTATGTCTGTGTCGCATCGAGTAATACCGGGGATAAATTTATTTCATGAGACCATTTTCTTCGTTTTTTTTCTGCCAAAACAAAATTATCCCAAGGAGCAGCGAATATCGAAATCGGCTTCTGATTAGTGAAGACCGCTAGGGTCACCCCTTACCATTTCCATTCTCCGGCAGCCGTGGTCTGCAGGGTGAAGATCATCTCCCCAGGCATGAGGGCCACGGGCATGACCATCAGGTAGTACACGGCGCTGCCCTGCACGCTGGCCACTCGCCACACCGTCACGATACCGTGGATGGCGAACAGCAGCCGGGCCGTTAAGGCCTTGGTGAAGGACACCAGCCAAGCCACGGTGGAGCAGGGTCGCCTTGGGGGCACCACGGCCCGCAGTAGCCGGATGGGGAGCCCTGTCTCCGCCTGGTGTCCAGTGCGGCTCATGTCGTGGTCAGGCTCTTTCCGGAGATGGTGGGGGTGCGACTCTGTGTTCCAATCAATAGGAGAAGAAACGCATCCTCATCAAGACAATTGCCGTCAGTTTACTTCAAATCAAAGTCGTGAAAATAGCGTGTATTGGATAAAACGCACCGATATTAGGTCCTTCAGTGTAAAAAAATGCTCCACAATACATTAGAGACATTCCAATATTTTTCACACTGATGTTGCAAAAATTATACTAATTTGGTTACAGTAGCATATTGGACGACTTTCCAGATTCGTTGTCTCACCGACTTTAAAGGCTGCCCGTCTCAAGAGGGAGTCATAATTTTTCTTCGGCTAGGAGGGTGCGTTATTTCCAATCGGAGGAAGATGACAGCTGCAGGTAACGCCTTCGTATATAGGACCGGAGCAGACGGCGTTGACAATTCGGACAGATTAATGAACATGAAGCTAACGCTTGGAGTGTGCGGGACCGGGATATTTCCAGGAGGAATGTCGGGTCGACGTCAGCGAGTAACGAAACGAACACTCTTGTAGCTTTGTTTTCAAACAGGAAATTCTGGCCAAAATGGCAGAGGACGTATTTGATTTCCTTTATCCACGAAGACGAAGGGTCCGCTGATCTCTTCCGGGCTGTCAAGTTTCGCCCAGTGAAAGTACCGGTATTGTGTCACTTTCCAACGTAGAATCCTTTCACTGGATACAGCGACGCAAACTGCTTGCTATGTCAACTTCAAAAGCGGCTGTCTCCTCGTCCCGACGAAGATATTCCAATACTTCCGCTGTGTCTCATCATCCTGCGGAAAGATGGGCTTGAAAAACCAAACAACCCTAGCCTTTCCTCCAGGCTGTGTGGCCGTGTCTCTTATCTTCAGATGCAGTCCAGCAACATCTTGAATGCTCCATGGCCAGCTGTGGAAGTCGAGGTGGGTGCGCTGTAAAATAAGAGCGCTGAGCACGAGACCTCGCGCATTATTGGTCGGAATAAAGAAAACAAGACAGAATCTGACACTTGAGTTATTCCCTACCTCGGCAACCCATCATGACTAGCGGTGATGCATGCACCGTCATCTTATTAGCTTTGTGACTTAAACCTGCCGGCAGGGGTCGTAATGTGACGTCATACCACCAGCTTATCCTTTTATGGAGGGTCATCGGTTTCAGGAATTGAAGCCCTAGTAGTATAATGTGTGGACATTTCGTTAAAACGGCGTAATAAATCTGGATTTACAAACTGACACCTGGGTGTGCGCGCGCACAGTGAACACTGACGAGGAGACTTCTGTTGGGTTTTCTCAAACTGACACGCAAGCATAGAGCCGGTATACCAAATAGAGAAAATTGTGTTGGTGGGTTTCCACATGAATTTACTCGAACCAGCAAGCCTACTTTTGGGGTTCAGAAAAACTGTACCTAAAACCTTTCAACTTTGGAAATTGAGAGAAGTTTCACTTCGTGAAAACGAAAACGCGTGGAGTGGGTGCACGCAGGGATTCGATTGGTTGCAGGAAAACCCAAATTACAGTTTTGCAAATTTTGCGCAAGAGCAGTGAACTCAGTGCCACCGTGTTCATGGTCTCACAGTGACGATGTGTACGGAGCGCACGGTCTGGTCTGGTGCTATAAGAAACCTGCAATGTGGCGCGCCAAGGATTTGTCGGGGGGGGGGTACCCCCGAAGAGCTCTTGATGCTCAATCGCTCCACAGGAAGCGTCACAGGGGACTAAGATTTACGGCTATTACGAAGCTAGTACATGTAAGTTGTTGGCGTATTTTGTATATTCGTTTTTCAGAAAAAAATAATAATTAGGCGGCTACAGCTCCCCTAGCGCGCCCAGTTGCGCCCCTGAACCTGTCCTCAATAAATTTCCATTATGTGATTTTGAAAAGTTTGGATTTGCTTTGACTGTTGAAGTTGGGGTTCAAACAATTTTAATCTGATCCTGTTGGAAGTCGACAGTCCTAGCATTTTCAAATTGGAAAATTCAGTTATTTCACTGTCGACATTCAAATAAAATTTACAAATGAAATAAAGTTGTGTCAAAAGTAAAATACGAAATTACAAAACATGAATTTATTTATTTAAAATTACTTGTTAAAATACATTTAAGTGACATTCCACAAATTCCTGTCATTAAAAACAATGCACTACCAAATCAGTGTCACAAGAAAGTATTAAAATCTAATGAATTAATATGAATCACTGTTGACATAAGCTCGTGACTCCATCATCGTTACATTATCCCTTATTTGCAATAATTTGGTTCACAAATTTTCTATTCATAATGTCCGTCGTTTCTCTGGCTTTTAGATAGACAAACCATTTTCTGTTATTCACACTTCTTTGAGGCTTAGAACATCCCTCTGCAATTCCTTCCCAGTAGCAGGGACTGGTAAATATGAGCAAATGTGTCTGCATTGCAACTAGTGAAGTTTCTTCCGGGCTTTATCAGGTGCTAAATTAAGACCAAAAGAAATTAGATCACTTAAGTCGGAAATTGCGTATAGACTCCATGAAATTACAACATGTAAAAAGACAAGTGCACGCGATTAAACATTGTCAGACTTTAAAAAATTGCACATAAGTGGTATCTTACTGAAACAAAACTACATTGAAAAATTACAAAACCGACAGAAACTAAAGAATAACTCATGTTTAAATCTTCCCACGGTAAGCCGTTAATCTAACCCTGTTGAATCGGGGACAGAAATAGCTCATTGGGCATCTGCAGAAGATAAGAAATGAGCCTGTGTTCGTCGTGCAATATTTTCAGAGTGACCCAGGGTTACTGTAATGCAAGCGGCCAGAAGCCCTAGAAGCAGGTTTGGAAACACAAAAGTGGATTTTTTTTTCAAAATAACAACCAATGATAGTTTCCAAAATTACACTTACATCATTTAGAAAACAAGTATTACATCTCTCCGAAAGATGAGAATCTGTCATTTGTCCCTGTATTGCAACTCCCCCGTCATAGCTTGCATTGAAAGTGTCTACTGTTCTTACTGTGACGTCAGAGATAGACATCTAACCACAGCATACGCTCCCAATTTTGTGCGAGAGGTGCCAGCGAAGCCTCTAATAGAACCCGTGTTGAAAAGTGCCTTCTTAACTTTCCCTCGACGTGTACAATGTCGTATGCGTGTGTCAGGGCTCTAGTGATGTGCGTTCATTGGTGCCGTGTACGCACGCTTAGCATCGCGTCTTTTGCCATTCCTTGTTCTGGTCTTCAGAGCAAACTTTCTGTAACGCACTATGCTAGCTTCTTTTCTTGTCTCGGCTGGTCGAGCTTCCACGTCACCGGCCGTGGCATCCTCGTTCCCACAGCACACGATGGCCATGCAGTATAACTGCAGTAGGATGACCAAGATGTTCTTGATTAGGAAGAAAATTATCATCTGATGTCTGACGATACTGGACGAGGAGGTAAAGTCGCATGGAGAGAAACGGCCCGTCCTGCATGACCACAGTAATGCACAGGGCCCAGGTCTCGCCAGCCCCGCACCCACCACCGGCACACCTCCCACAGGACCTGGCGGCGGTGGACGGCTCGGTGGCTCGTTCAGTGGGCGTGGAGGCCGAGGTGAAGACCAGGGTGAACTGGACCAGGCTCCAGGTCCACACGACCATGACGACGAGGATCAGCAGGCGGTCGCACATCACCTCCCGCTCGCCCAGGCTCTCCATGGAGAACTCCAAGATGTTGGCTGCCATGTCAATGTGGACTAGGAGCAGCTGTGAGAGCTGGTCCCGTGTAAGTGATCCCTGGGGCAGCAACCATGTTCCCATCATTAAGGTTGTGAGGAGGAACTGTTCCATGCCCAAGGCCCAGGCGTCGTCAGTCAAGATTACAGGAATGACTACCTGAAACTAACAAAGAAAAAGTTCCCGCTGTGTCAAAACAACGACTCAGTAAGCGACATCCCTACTGAGGACTTAAATGATACCAATAATGGACAAATTATACGTAGCACTTTAATGACTAATTAAGGTAAACCTTTGCGTAAGCTTGCGTAGCAACAGCTATTGCATCAGATTCAATGAAGTCAGCATCATCGGGCAATGTACATCAGACTGGGCCGGTATACACCTTAACTGATGATGTTTTACTCCATTTCATCTGATGAAGTAGTCGTCGCTAAATGAAAGCTTATGCAATTTTTACCTTAGTTAGTCATAAGAGTGCTACGTATAACTTTTCCATCGTTGTTATCTGACTAACACGGCTACCCACCACTGCATATAAATTATTCCCTGAGTCTAGCTGGAATATTTCTCCTCGTGGATAATAAGCCTTCTTGACCAATAGCGAAAACAGTAAGAGAACCCTACGCGCACATCTATAAGCCCCTTGGTGTGTGTATTTGTAAAATCGTGGGGAACCACCGTCAATACCCAGTACAGCGGCACAAAATCTGAGTTGGTGTAAAAGCAGTTGGGAGGGAGCAACATCACGAAGCGATGGCTTTATGCAACGGAGCAGTCATGCCGTGCCCTGCGGGAGTTTTTAGTTTGGAACATTTAGTTGTTACATGTATTTATCAGAAATGAATAGGTGTGGTAACAGTTTATAGATATGTTGCCATTACAATGCTGGCGTTAAAATGCCCAAGCAGGTCCTGTGCCAACTATTAGAACATATTACACGTAGTCGTTAGACTCAAGCAATTCCTGTGATGTCTTTTTTGCTTGGTTCTCGTAATGACTGAGCAGTCTTAATTAAACTCCAACCGCCATTAGATTGTCTCGAGGTGCCCTTCCAAATGCAACGAAATCCAAGGCAACTGAAGAAAGAACTCAGTTATGCAACCAGCCTTTTGAGCATCGACTGATAAAAGAAATCAAGAAATCGATGTATAAACTTGGTTCCTTATTTTTATCCCGGCTACATTCGAGCTGAGAGCTGAAGAGTTGTAGACCGTGTCAGCCAAAAGCCCTTCTTGTCTCGGTACGCGATTCGTTTCTCCAACAAATCGAACTGGAGCAGCCACAGACCTGGGAGCACGCTGGCAAGATATAAGCAGACACTGGGACAAAACCTGTTACCAGAACGGCAGACAAACGGAACGGATCACAAATCAGAAAAGATCTCAGCCTCTCAGTGCCCGGCAAAAGGGCGTAAGTGCGCTTACACCCTTTTGCCGGGAAGTATTATCACAGCAGAAAAACTGTTCCTGGTACAAGGACGTAGGAAACACACTCTATTTATTTAGTAAGAAAGGACAAAATTTACTGCAAAAATCAACACAGGCTGTGCAAAAAGCAACCTTTGAACAACTTATTAACCGACTTCGGATTTTTTTTTTACTTTTTGAAAGGAAATCTTCATATTTCATTAAAATAAAACAGTTGCATACTTACGTCCTTTTGCCGGGAATTTTTTTTTATGCAGTGGTCATGCTTCCTGGCAAAATGTAACCAGTTGCCTTAGTTGTTGGTTTGGAATGAAAGGGTATTTCTGTAATCTGAGTTACTTGTATTCAGGTTGGGTCACTCCACAGGCTTTAATTCATTATGCATGAGGTATGGTCCCCCTTTGGCATACACTGCATTCTTAAATTCTGGGGCGTGCATTTAAGCATAGACTTTGGTATAAAAGGCCCTGGTAGGCAATGATTATTGTCATTCCTTCTTTCGCCTCTGCTCACTGCACCAGCTTGATTGGTCTGGCTTGCCCCTGTCATGTACATATAGTCTGTTGGGCGTGACATGGGGATATGTAGTTGGAGATTGTACCACCATAGCATGGGGAATGATCAACCCTGAGTGGATGTTTAGCTGAGGTATGTTACACTTTCTTGCTTTATAATTAATGACTCAAGTGGTGATATTTAGTGTATAAATTTTTATATGTAATATGTTATTTAAAAATGAGAATATGGGTGTTAAAAATGGTATTTTTATCTTTATAGCTACACCCTCTTCCAAGTTGGGGTTTGCTTGCCGGGTAGTTCCGATTTGAGTTTAATTTTGTAGTCTTTTAATTTGCGGGTTAATTATTTTGTCGCTTGCCATAGTTATGATTATGAACCATAAATAAACTAATGGAAAATCAAGAAATTATCAGTGTTCAAAGACTTGGTACGAATTTGTCTAAGACTGGCCAATAAAATGTTGACTTTTACTGGAAGGCTAAGTTCATAAGTAACAAAATGCGCTATTTCATCACAGGGAGTGATCGTCAAATCTCATAAAATACGCTTTTGTACAAATGCCATTAAAATTATTCAAACAAAATGCAAAATCGTGTAAACAACTGGGCTATTTATTCCCAAAATAACTCCAGAAGAAAGAGCTCATTAAGGGCAATGACTGCACGTATAGATTTAGGGCACACAGCGTAATGCAAGCAACTGTGCAAACATCAAATTTGATGTTGTCATGAGGTAACACCAAGCACCAACAAAGCATGAATAGGGAGCCTATTCAATTTCCTACAACTCAGTGTACTAAGTTTTAAGAATGTAGATTACCAGCGACATATTGTATCCTACAGGGTACAAAGATGGTGCGTAGCAAGCGTTCGCTGCGCTCTGGCTATGGACATACCAGACACGCCAGAAAGCGGTAACTTGCCAGATGTTACAGCCCGGGCAGTTCAAACTGAGATAAAGATCCAGTCTGTCTTCCGTTTTGGTCACTCCCATTTATAGTTGTTGAAAACGCTGAACATGTCAGTGGGCATTATCTGAAACCACAAGACGTGTATAACTACCTAAACCCATGTGTATTTATGTAACAACGAATATGCTGCACTCCTGAGAAAAATCAATTGTAATCTTAGAGTTTAGATACTGTTTTGGTCGCGCCGTCAGAGTTTGGAGATTAAAAAACCCCGAAGATCAAAATCGTACCACGGAGCCCCAAATCATACCACACGTGCACCAGAAGCGGATAAATATGGTAGAGGTTACTTCAGTGCGTGCGTGGGCCTTTTCACTCAGTCCAGTTAATGTAGAGGTCGGCATACATGGTTCATGTGCATATTCGTATAGTCCAAGCAAATAAAGAACAGTTGGGGATATTTGCTGTCACTAAAACTTTCAAAAACCCATTTATTGGCAAGTACACGTACATGTATATACTAATTGTTCGGGGCAGGGTGTATTTTAGTCAGTGCAACGGATATTCAAAGCAAAACATAATTATTAACTACTATAGGGATTTCACATTAATGCAGCCTGCGCATAACCGCATCGAAACCGAAGCGTTCTGTGTTGGACTTGATCGCGCGCGCCGCGGGGTCGACACAGTACATGCAGTATCCGGTTCGTAAGTGTGACGCCACTTCAGTTTAAACCACGCCCACTGCACATGCACATACACGACCACTGCAGGTACGTTAGTTCGCGGTAAATTTCCGTTATTTTTTTCTTTTGATTTTTCGTGTCGAGTCATCCTGAAAGACTCTGCCACAAAAATTTGCAGCCTGAAAAGTCTTAATGTAATATGCCTTCATGAATTTTGTGTCTTGACTACTTTCTTTCAATCGTCTGATCGTATTAAGAATTGAAGTTGACACATGCAGCCTCGTTTTCAAACGCGGAAGTGCGCAAATCGATGCTAAAGCGACGTCATATTGGGATCCCTCTATACGTACGTTATCAAATAAACTGCTCATAGAAACAATTACATCTAATAGAGGCAAATCTCGTTTGGCTTTAATTTTGCATGGACGGCAACACTAAGGCTCTTTGAAAACACTAAGACTCGGTGGTAAATACAAACACTATATCACAAATTATTAAAGACTAACCCACTATGTACACATTATATTGCAACTTGCTGTCATGCGTATATTACTTTTTATACATAATTTACAGTTATTTGTCAGTTGTTATATTCACCTCAAAGTACCGACTAATGTCCAAAGAAACTCCATTTCACTGTGGATACAGCTATGAGACATTATAAAGTAAAATGGCAGACATCATGAAAAATCACCCATCTCTGGATCAGAATTATCAATAAACAACGCCCGTCATTTCACAGATGCAGCGCATCATAACAAAACGCACAGCTACCTCCCTCAGCCCAGGTACGTCATTGCTGTGTACTCGTGACATTCAGCAATTTCAGAGCATTGTCCCACTGTGCTGGCATTTTAGTCAGTGCAGCGATCACGTTCGTTCACGTGAGACACGCGTGGCATAAAGTGTGATTAGATACCGTGGGCCGCATGCCCACCTTTGCATCTGCAACTTTTTTTAACTTTCATGCTTACCTATGATTATTTTCTTTTTCTGCTATCGGTTAAGAAGGCAGATCCATAGCACGGAAGACGCTGTCCCGTTTCGACAAAATTAATAACGTAATAAAAATGCTCAATTGCAGTGTGGGCGGTCTTGATCTATGACGTCAGCTTGATAATTTGCATGTCATTGGAAATGAAACTGATCATAAGCCACCGACTAGCATTCGCTAACACGTGAATGGAGAGTTTACCACTACGACTTTCTCTAGGTTTTACTTCCTCTTAACTAGCGGCCTCGGTCAGAGTCTTTTGTGAGGAGTTCTGCTGATCATTGCTGATGTCACCCTCTTCCACGGCTTCCATGGCTTCCACGTCGGGCTCCACTGTGCTCGGTCCGTCGCAGCACACGATGGTCATCCTGTACACCTGCAGTAGGATGACCAAGATGTTCTTGATGGTGAAGAACAACATCATTTGATTGATGACGCTGTAGTTGATGAGCAGGAACAGACGCATCACCAGGAACGGGCCGTCCTGCATCAGGATGGTGGTGCAGAGGGCCCAAATCTCGTTCTCGCAGCACCGACAGCAGCCCTTGCAGGACCGACCGCCGGTCGTCCTGGCGGCCCGAGTGCGGGGAGCGGACACCGAGGTCAGCACCAGGGTGAACTGGAGCAGGCTCCAGCTCCACAGGCCCAGGATGATGATGATCAGGAGGAGGTTGCAGATGACGACCTGCTCCTTGAGGCTCTCCAGGGAGAACTCCAAGATGTCGGCCGCCATACCGATGTACACGAGCAGCAACTGGGACAGCTGGTCACGGGTGAGCGATCCCTTCGGCAGCAGCCATCTTCCCATAATCAAGAGGGCAAGCAGGAACTGCTCAAGGCTTAGAGCCCACGCGTCGTCTGACAAGGATACAGGAATGCTGACCTGAAGCTGGAAAAAGAAACAGAAAATTTGCACTATGATCAAAAAATAAATGACACTCATATTTTATTGTCGTTGAAGTGCAAAAAAAAAAGAGTTTCACTGATTACTTGTATTTGCATTTTATACTGTTACAAATTAAACCAGTAAATAATTATAATAATAATGATTACCGCTAATGGGTCATTAGGGAGACATTCCCATAAGAACGTGCACAAAATTTGTCCAACTTTACTGCCATAATTCAATATTCCCTAGTCTGATCTGAACGAAACTTTGTATGTTTTCATTTTAGATCCTAATCCATCACCTCTCAAAATTTGGACGGTAAAATTCGGCCTCCTTCTGGTAGTTTGAAAACTAAAATGTCTCTCTAAAAGCCAATGTCTCCCTAATGCTGAAAAATGTACCACAAAATGTTTCCCAAATGACCAACAAATTATTATTATTGAATGACAATTTAATTTAACAACAACAATAATAACATATTGAATAATCTCCTCATGTGTAGACGGCATTTGTTTTATATACACAATGTAAAGGGGTACGTAATACAGATTGTAACGGTTTGTCCCAAACTTTTTCCCAATGATCCAGAAGAGAGTAAAACATGCTGTTGTAAGTTCAAGATTTAGGATTCCGGATCATAGACTGGAAGTGTTGGACGCTGGCGCTTTACCAACAAGTGGCACGACAGGGGTTCGATACACAGTGCTGCATCTGTGATGAACAGAAAAAGCTGTGTTCCCCGACCGAGCCCTTTATCAACCCCGCCAAGGAAACGAGCCCCAGTCGTGGCCACAGTAATTACGGCAAGTATAAAAGGATGCTGCACGGGAATATCAATTCCTTACCCCTGCAACATTAGAGCTGAGACCCGATGAATTGTACACTGTCTCCGACGAGCAGTCCGTCCAGCCCATGAAGTCACGGTACTCGATGCGCGTCTCGTACAAATCGAATTGCAGCAGCCACAGACCCGGCACCACACTGGCCAAATATAGCAGAACGCTGGGACAGAACCTGTTCAGGCATTAGGAAAGACAAAACTTTCAAAAGTTCCAAGAGGACTGTTTAAAAGCCCCTATGGCTATCCCCGAAATGAAATAAAATAAAACAACCGAGAAGTAAAATCTCTACAAAACAGTATCGGCGTTTTACTTGAAGGGTTTTAATACCAGAAATCTGTTTCGGTTGCTGTGACTGACCAACATACGTGTTTGCTATTCGTTTCAATTGTCAGGATCGATGTCCAAATCAACATCGATTTGTGCGCAACTGTTCGATAATGGCATATGGGGCAGATGGACAATAAGGAAAATACCGAAGAAGGGAAAAACATCACTTCAAGAGCAGCATTTATCTCTCGGACTGAACCGGGATTGTAAGTTCAACCATAATTTTGGTCATCCTTTACTTAAAATTGTATGTCTTTGCGGAATGGAATCCGACTTCGCTAACTTTGTGAATGTTGCCAAGAAGGTTCATCCCCATGCGTCCTCACAAGGTTGCTTGATTCATAATTGCCTCGTGACTACTTTGGACGACTGGTTAGAGAGCAATTACTCGCCGATTAACCAGTTCATTCACCCCCTTATTCACTGTTGCTATATCACCTCTTAATTGTTTTATAATTGCACCCAACTGTACTTAGAAACATTAATAGTTCTCAGATACAAACAGTACCTGCAAGTCAAAGAAATGTTTGCAGTAACTGAAAATATGAAGGCGTGTAATGCTTTAGGATGGACGATTAGAAAATGTTTCTCCCTCTTTCTGTTGCTCCGACAGTTTGATTTGTTTTGAAGGCGCATTATCAATATCAAGAGTTGAATGAATTATTCACACGCAGTTTCAGTGACGGCGATGGAATAGCGAACATCATTTAAATGAAACACTCGATTCTGTAATGGACATGTACGCCATGTAAGCGGACCTAGTTCTGCGTCCCGATTCACAATGTAAAGGTTGTGAATATGAGATATTAAACTTTATCTGTCAATCATCGGTATTCTTTCCTGTTAATTTTGATGTCAAAAGGTAGTCTGGTTACTCGGCAAAGTCCATTAGATGTGAAAATGACTTATTTGATATTTTGAGAAACTATAATTACTGCTGACAACATACCCAATCCACTACCACGAAGAGCAAACCCAAAGAGGGGAACCAACTTTGAAAAAAGTCTGTCTTACCACTTCCATTCCCCGTTCTCCGTGAACTTAAGAGTGATGATCATCTCGAAGGGCAGCAGACAAACTGGGATGACCAGCAGATAGTAGATCATCTCGGAATTCACCTCCGTGACTCGCCAAATGGTGATGATGCCGTGGATTGCGAACAGGCACCTGGCCAGCAGGGCCTTCAGGAACGACACGACGCCCATGTCGGATTCTTATTGCTTCTGAATGGGTGAAATCTAGTTGAGAGACTGTCACCAGCACTGTTGTAAACGAAAGTAAATCTAGATCTGTCGATTTCAGTGTTCTCTCTGGAGTATGTTGACGCTTGCTGTACAATTGCCGGACTGCATCGATTGGTTGCAATTTTCAGGCACTTCAGAACATCTGTTGTCATGAAAACTCTCTTCGGTATTTATCTTTCCAGGAAATTCAACAGCACTTTTTGGCCCAAAACACACCCAGTAAATTTAAGGTAAAATCCGTGTTGAAACCTACCTCTACTGGGGAATGATAAAAGCCAAGGAAACCAAAAAGACTAAGGGACCGTCTGCTGTCCACGCTGACCTCTATACCACGAAACCTATCCACGTGTCTTCAACTTTTGAATTAGATCTCAGCGAGGAGATAGACTCTGTATGACTACTGGAGCAAGAACAGCTGAAGCATTCACTGATATGCGTTTATCACACCATATGAAGTACGAAGCATAATATAATTCTTGCTCCAAGTTTTGCTGCTGTAACGTGCAAGGAACTCTCACAAGTCTAAAGACCGGCGACAACACTGTTATCTACTACTTGCGTCACCCACGCCGGTTATTACGTCTCACATCATCCCATCGTATAGGTGGATTATCGACCTTTACAGCACAACGCACCAGACAATTGTCGATATCATCCTAGTGATCCACCCTCGACCCCTCTGTTGTGTTGTGCAGCCCTGTCCGCGCTTTTGTGTTGGAGTTTATTTACTCTTTGAAAAGATGAAGGGATAGCAACGGTGGCACTGATCCGGTAAATAGGTGGTTGCTAAGGGATTACCAAGGACATGCGCAGAGGGTTTTATCATGTCATTGCGAATAAGGTTAAGTCCCCTAAGACATGCACATCAAGCTTTGTGACTCATAATAGTTTATCCTGCTCTGTCCTGGGTGCACCCTCGTAATTAGGCCAGAAATATGTCCGCCGAGCTCATTAATAAAAGTTATACACTCAAAATATTCTATATTAGAGGGTCCTGAGAGCCATGGAACTGAGGAATTCAAGAAATATGAGACTGGACCTGTGGGCCGGACTCGGGGCTTCCAATTCTGAGCAATTTGGATGCAATCGGGTGTGAAAGTGGCACTATTTGAGCCATTTTGCCGAGGGAGGGTTTTTCAAAATGGCTACTTTTCTGGACAGGGACATTTTCTGCATTTAAGGGGTGGTCTGCTTCTGGTGAAAATTTCTCAAAAATTCATTGGTCAA